GGGGGGGGGGGGGGTCAAAATGACTTATTTGGCAGTTCATCACATTATTCATTTTCAATACATTTTGTTTTTTAAAGTTTTGTATGATTTTGTTCTAAAATATTGCAAATAATTAATTTTGTAAAACAGTTTTCTTTTTTTTGTCGTTTTGATGTAAAATTGTACGCAGTATACGTCTATATACCGAATCATTTTGACCGCTACAGAACGTAGGTAAACTTGTGATTTTAGAAGTTTCTTATATTATTTTTGTATTTATTTGTAGTTCAAATATATTTTTAGAAAACTAAGTACATACATTTATGTTGTACAAAATTACCGTAAGAGACGAAATTCCATAAGACCGAACCCTAAGATCGAAGTTCTTCGGCTAATTCGTTTTGATAAGAAAAATGAAAGAAATCAACAATTGCAAACAGTTCAATTTGCATTAGTTTCATAAGTGTGGAATAAATTCGTTGAAAATAGCCAAACGTGTTGGTATATTGGTAAATGCTATAAGTTGTAAATTTACGCAGTACATTATATGCCAAACAAGCCGAATGAGTTTGGTATAAAATTCTGGTTAGCGTCGGATGTAAAAAGTGAATATATTGTAAATGCACTTCCCGGGCCGAAATGATATTATCCGTACCTTTAGGTGAATTTGTCGTTCTAAACAGTGTCAACAGATCATTTCTTTACAAGTTTGTCATTAGCAACAAAACTGCTAACCAAAAGAAGTTCCTTAATTGGCATCATTGGACAAAATAAGAGAGAATTACCTAAACTTGCAAAATCACAAAAAAGGTCTTCTTCTTGACAATACTTCTACAAAATAGAAAATTATACTCTTACCGTAAACAAGAGTTAGTCCAATAAAAACGTACTGTGAGCTCGAAACATAAGTCTATTAAAATTGAAAAAAAAAATGGCAAACTTTTATCTGAAACTTTGGTATTTTGTGACAACACCAAAGGCGTAGATACGACAGATCATGTACATCACAAAACCAGATGCATATTTCGATGGAACGGAAACGGTGTAAAATATCATATTGTATTACTAATAAAACGAAGGCGCATATCATAAACGAGTCTATGGTACATGCTCTGCTAAAATAATTGTAACTAGTAAAAAAAGTCTTCGTCTTGTGTGCATAATTATTCAAAAAATTATTGTTACTATGTTATAATTTTTATTCAGTTTTGTATTCAATTTTCGCTGATAAAATAGGAAAATATATAAAAACGTAAAGATTACTATGTCTTTTCTTAGATGAATTAATCATTTTGAAAACAAGTAAAATCCCTGTGGTAGAAGTAGGTATATACGTCAATCGTTGGTAGTTCTAGTGTTAAAATATGTATATGTGTCGTGAATAGGTACATATACGTCGATGCTTGCCTGATGACGTTGAAACAATACTTAATCGCAAAACGGAACCGAATTTCCGTTCGACTTAATGGTAATACCGATTACGTTACCGTAAAGCGGTTGCGATAACTTACTCAGGAACCAACAGTTTCGTATTCCGAATCCAGGACGAATGAAATGGTCGGGAATGCTGTGAAGATTGTCCATGAGCACGCAAATGCTGGTGAGGATGGTCGCGAACCCCCAAGCGTAGATCGAGTATATCAGAAATTTCTTTCGTTCCCTCTGTTTGACGCTCCCTTGAAGCGATCGGAACCCTCTGAAAATAATCGTGTCGTATAACATCCCTCCGATCGTCGGTTAGAAATCGAAAAAAGCGAAGACATTTTTCTCTCATAATGTACTCTATTCGAATAGTTCGTATTCATCGTCGTTCCTCTCGTCGCTTCTCCTACTACTCAGCCAACATGTTCGCCGCGTTCCTATACATATACAGGGTGTCCCAAAAATGTCTCGCAATCCGAAAGTGGCGGGTTCCTCAGGACATTTGGAGCAATTTTTACCTTTACAAAAATGTTCTCCGAGGCACCGTTAACGAGTTATTAACGAAAAACACTGACCAATAAGAGGCGAGCTTGGCTGGCGCGCGGCGGCCCAGTTCCGCTCATTGGCTCGGCCGTCTCGCGCCAAATGATCTCGCCTCTGATTGGTCACTGTTTTTCGTTAATATCTCGTAAACGAAGCCTCGGAGAAAAATTTCGCAAAGGAAAAAGTTGCTTCAAATGACCTCAGGAACTTCCAGTGTTTCCGGATTGCGAGACATTTTTGGGACACCCTGTATTTTAAAGATGACTTTCCTCAAACAGTAAATTCTCCCTAATCGACGCACAGATCGTGCACAACTATAAAAGTGAGCTTCAAGGCTCAAACGATCGTATCTCCTCTTCCCAAATTGTCCATTTTCGTGCACAATCTGAGCGTCAATATTACAGAGAATTTACTGTACACTGTTCGTTCGATAGTATCGAATCGATGCATACAAAAACAATGATGTACACATTTTATTCTAGAGAGAATTAGTGTGCAAGGAGGCAACTGTGCATGCTGTCGGTTTGTTTCGATTCTCACGTATCGAGAGTAATTAGCCGGAGTACCGTAATAGGATATAATTAATAAAACCACAAACGAGTTCGACGTAAACAAAGCGATACGCACCACGCTTGTGGATTTACCATGACGCATCATGGTTTCATCGCGGAGCGGCTAGCAAAAAGAAAAAAAAAGAAATTGAAACACGTTCGCACGTTCGGCAAAGTTCATTTGAGCCGTTTATTTTGAAAGTGGCATAAGTCGCTTTACCGTAATGAAAAGTGGTGATTTTTTAATGTTTATACGAAATTATTTATACCGAGAAAAATATCAGTATCCTGAGATAACAAATACAAGTGAATCTTCTCGAAAGTTGGCATCCATATTTTGAAACGTGTTGAAACGCCAAACCCTTAAATATATCGACTTAAAAACAAAGTGACTTATGCCACTTTCAAAATAAACGGCTCATTTTGTACTTGCTTTCCGGTCGTCGTCGGTTTCACGCCGGCCAATCGTAGTCGACGGAACAACCGAAAATAGTGTAGATGAAAGCGTGATTGTAATACGAAGAGTAAATATTCGGGGCTCTACGAGCATGTAGCCAATATAGGGCATATTTGTACGCGTACACACGCCTATACCCTCCACGTGTGTAATAAAAGTATACGTGTACGCGGTGTAGGTGTATATTATGAGAACAAGGGTGAACCACAGAGGCGTGCGTGCGAATGTCAACGCGATCACGCCCATATCCATGCTTCGTGTCATCTACGTTGTGCGTCGTATGTCGTGTCACCGATCCAGAAAATGCATTCGTATGAAAAAAAGGGCTTGGCGGGCACCCTAGTTACGAGCAAAAACATGATATACCGTGTTAACGATTATGTTTACGGTCACGACATTATGTAGAAAACCGCAAACAAGTACGTATGTACACACACACATACATACATACATCGTTTTCGGCGAACGTCCGCTTATTTCGCGGAGCTTTTGCAGGACGCTGAAAAATCCGGCAAGACGGACGGAAAGCCAAGCAACGCTCTCCGAGTATTAATACATATGAATTTCCGCCTAACGTACGGGATATGCGACGAACGTGCCTTTCCGAAAGAATTCAACTTTATATTCGAAGTTGCGTTGTAACTGGTATTCGGATCCGTTCGCGTTGGCGTCAGCATCGAAGAAAAGACCGTTTCTTGGCATTCGAGATTTGTTTGGACTATACGTCACGATTTGTTTGCTGTACACCTGGCGTTCTATAGATACATAAGTAGATCGAAAAGTTTTATGAGAGCGCCACTCGATGCGGAGACGTCGTGAGCCGTCTCGGTTAATTGCGAAAACGCCGGCCGTTTTAATTTCAGATTTCCGAACCTTGCGCGTAGAAATAGACGAGAGCATGGTTCAGGCGAAACCTGTGAAACCCGACGAAGAAATATTTTCGGAAAGACGCGAAACGGGGAAACGCTTTCTGCAGAAAGGATAGCGACCGTGACTGGCGGGTCTGAAAGACGACGGGATTTCCTTTAACGCGACCGATGATGCGATGATAAGCGAACGGCAAACACGCTTGTGCACCACGGAACGTAGGGCACGTATTGGGTTGGCAACTAAGAAATTGCCGATTTCAGTTTTAGATGTCTCTCACTCCCATTTTTATGATATCCGTAAATGTTATATTATAAAATTATTATTATTATTATTATTATTATGTTATTTTTTATTATCCGTGAATGTTAGCAACTGGACAAATTGAATGCAGCGGTCAAGGAAAAGCGACCAGAATCGGTCGATCGTAAAGGTGTCATTTTCCAGCAGGACAATGCTAGACCGCATTGGCTTAGCTAATTCTTTTCAACCAAAATATAATTTTATTCCCCTGCTATCAAAATTTAATTACTTCCCTTTTATATAATATTGCATTCTCTTGTAGCTAATATTTAATCATTTTGTTTCAACCGAAATAAAATTCTGTTAGCTTGCTATTAATATTTAATAATTTCTTTTCGAATTCGTTTAATACTATTAATACATAATTATTCCTGTTTAACCGAAATACAATTTTATTCACCTGCTACTAATATTTAATCATT